ACACACACACACACACACACACACACACACACACACACACACACACAAAGTCGACCTTAATGCGAGTCACATTAAAGTGCAGTTACACTATGTTTCACACTCAGGAGCCGCTATGAACCCTATTTAATAACTTTTCAGTGTAAATAAAGTTGAACACTGCCGACATACTGTTCTATGTCATTGCACAAGAAGAGCAGGTATGACACCTATTTAAAGGGCCCAACCCATAGCTGATTGTCAGCATTAGTGAGCAATCCGCACATGTCACGCTCCTGATATCACCACACAGAGATAATGCAAGATTAGAAGACATTATCAACACCTATAAAAGAGTCAGGTTGTTTTTATCCTTATCACAGGCTGTATGACTACTTGTGAATGACGGGTGTAAGAGGGTTAGAGTGGGCACCGACCTCTTTTCTCCTCCAGATCCTGGAGGAACTGCCTGTAAGCAGCCGTGGAGCTCATCCCTCCCTCCCCCCTCCCTCCCGGAGAAAAGAGAGGAAGAGAGATGGGGAACGGCGCGACAAGGAGAGGGAGTAAAGTTGAGGGAAAGTACAGGGAACTGGTCAGAAAAGGTGGAAAATTAGAGAAAAGAAAAGAGGTGAAACCACAAGGAAATGAAAACAAGTGAGTGAAGTAGGAGAGGAGGAGGAGGAGGAAGAGTCTACAGGCTGCAGTTGATCAGCGCGGCCCGCAGGATCCGGGGCTGTCAAAGAAGAGCCATCCTTAATCACGCTGATAATCCCTCATCTCTCGCCCGCGTTTCTTCTTCTGCCGAGAGTGTGCGTGTGTGTGTGCGCGCCGGTGGTTCAGGTAGCTCCGAGTGTGGCGGAGTGTTCGCAGCAGCTCTAAGCCGGATAGAGGACCTGGACTTTGACCACAAGGCAGGTGATGTCACTGCCAGAAGCATGCGTTTCACTCGCGTCTAGAGTGAGTGTGTGAGTGAGTGAGTGTGTGTTACAAGGAAATTAGAAAAAAAAAGGAGGCGTGTTTTTATTACTCAGCTGTGCTTTTTTTCTTTTTTGTTTCCAAAGCAGCGTGGTAAGTCAAAGCTGGAGTTTGAACATGAATGTTTGACTGTCACACATTTGTCATGCAATCTTTATGTGTGTGTGTGTGACTTTCAGCTGCCTGCTGGATCAACATACTGGAGCAGATTACAGCGCAGCAGACGACACACACACACACACACACACACACACACACACACACACACACACA